ACCCAGCCTTCAATTCCAGACCCCTTCAATCCATCTCTGAGACCCAGACTTCATTTGCAGACCCACTCAATCCATGTCTGAGTCCCAGCCTCCATTCACTACTCTCCCAAACTAAATCTGAGGGCTCTGCTCCTTCTGTCTCTTGATTCTGATCCCTCTTCTGAAGTCCTGCCTCAATTTCCCAGTATCCAATCATTCTATGAGGTAGCTACTTATCCCACAAACCCTTATCTTAATACCAGGACCTCGACGTCAATTGTTGATGGGAATCAATTTGCAAAATGTGACAACTTGCTTGTTCTGTCTAGAATCTCTGGCCCCTTGCTCTTTGCTATGGAAAATACGTCACTCAAATTTATCTACTTTAAAGCGACCATGTTCTCTAAATCGAATTTATCATGCAGAAGTGTAACAAAATTACCAGGATAGAAAATCTATGTTTAACAGTGTAATGAGGTAAAGCATTTTCACCAACCTATGTTTTAACTAAAGCACAGATTCACTGAATGCAAAACAGATGCACTGCTGATAACTGTTGATTTGACATTGTACTATCAAAGTACACTCAGACTCAGTTTATAAATAACACAGGAACACTACTCAAGAACGTCAGTGTTTTGTATCACACTGCCTTAGTCTCTGTATTGGCTCAACATTGTGGAAACAAAATTAGTAACAGAAATGGAGCTGGCATTTGTTGTGTAAGCAGCAAAAACCTGGATTTTTCACAGGCCAATAGTTGTTCCACCGGTGTAGATGGGAGTTGTGTATGGGACCCTGCAGAATCCCCTTGTAGCACACTCCAAAGGAATTGCCTGGGAAATTGAATTTTACCACTGACCAATTCCTCTATGCCTGGAACCTGACAAAGTCTTCATGACAATTGGAAACATTGGATAGTTCCACTGAAGTCAAGTGGAATAATTACTTGGATAAAGGTGCACTATTAAATAGGTAATCAAGTCCTGCATAACTGTTAAACTGATGCCACATTTACTTCATGCAGCTGGATGTACAACTCTCTCAGACCTTTTACCATGACCCAATACGTTTCCCCACCGCCCCAGGACCCTCACCAGACACGTACTTCGCCAGATTCGACCCGAAACCCTGGCCCCCACTTCGTTGCCAGACCCGATCCTATCGACCCTAACACACCCTAAATGCTGCATCATTTTTCATTGGGACCTCACCCTCTCCCCAGCCCGTACCCTACTAATCTGGCACCTACCTGACCCCAAGCTTCCAGTTACCTGCCACTTTAGCACACCACTGTGTTCCCTGGCCAACCTCCCTGTCTCAGGCTAGCTGGAGTGCTCCAGTGAAGCTCAGTGTGAGCTAGAGGAATAATACCCTATTTTCCACCTGGGAATATTGCAGCCCTCAGGACTCAATGTTGAGTTTAACAATTTCACAACGCGATCACTTTTCCTTCGCATTTGTTTCCTACCCCACACCCTCAAATGCTGCTCTTCCCCCTGCACAGTAAATCCATTTTCAACGATTCACAATTCCCATTTAGCATTTACCTCCCTCCTGCTTATCATCACTGTTCCCTTCGTTTACTTCTCCTTTCTCCTGTCTCTATGGACATTGTTGTCATCCATTCGACTCACTACTTCCTCTCCCCTCTAAAATCCCACCTCTCAATATCAGCACCAGCCATTCCCCAGCCATTTCAGTTCTGATGAAGGGTCACTGGAATCAAAACATTAATTCTGTTCTTCATATCTGGTCAGCATGGACGAGTTGGACCGAAGAGTCTGTTTCCATACTGTACATCCCTATGATTCTATAACACTCCACAGATGCTGTCAGACCTGTTGAGTTTCTCCAACACTCTGTTTATGACTCAAAGCTTGTGTTTACGTATATTCCATTCATTCAGTCCCACAGCAATGGCAATAACAATGCCACCCCCTTTCTGATGATAGTAAAGTTAACAATAATAAAGCCGTTCTGAGTATTTCTGTCTGATTCTTTTCTTATTGTTATTTGAACATGCAACAGTCACCTTTATTCAAGGACTGACACTGCATACTCTGAGTGGTACCCCACCTATACTTGAATATAATCCAACAGGAGTTTTTAAAACTTAGTACACTTATTTGTGGTATGATGCTGCTTGGCCTGCTGTGTTCATCCAGCCCTGCACCTTGTTGACACTTATTTGTGGGATGACTTTTGTAAATTGGGTGCATCTTCCAGAACATTACTAGCTTGAGGACTCAATAAAGCATCTGGGGGATGTCAATAGAGAATAGAGACGTACATTCATTCCGTATAATGTCAATCAATTATTTCTTCTGTTTGGTCAGTACAGTTCTTGTTTTCCATATGTGCTATCCATCGTTCCAAGATCAGATTCCATAGTCAGCTAGCCATGGCTCTCATTGTTGGCCCTGGTGACAGGATGAGTTTGATTTTCCATCCATTAATCTAAATTGATAGGAAATGTAGGCCTGAAATTTCTTAACTTATGCGACTTAGAAGTGTCAGTCCATGCTGGGAGAAGTCGGTTATGAAGTCTGCACTTTAAGATGTTAATATTGGATTGTATAGCACCTACATTTTTGGTGCAATGGGTACTTTTACAGATACAAAGTGGCAGTTGCATCATGCATATATGGTGCTATCCCTGACAGGTACCATTTTAGGCAGATCATCAGTATGGACACAAGGATCGGGTGCAAGAAATAGACTGAGTAGGCAGATTATGGAACACAGATTTGATTCCAGTGACGCCATTTTTGAGTTCAGTGCCACAGCCACTGTCCTCTTGCATGGCTGAGCCTGCATTCAGCAGTTAAAAGCACTTCCCTATCTAATGGGAAGATCCAACATTTTCACCTTAGTTTCTTCTTGGTTTCTACTACTAATGCTGAGTTAGTCAATATGTTTTGTGGTTTGTACTGCTTCTTAGTGTTGGTGAAATCCATACAAATGGGGTGGCCCTTTCTTGGGGATTAGAATGAACCCACTGGTAATGTTTAATTGTATTTTCTATCTCGAGACTTTTTGAATCTCACTGCAATGCAGGGTCCTTGATAGTACTCAATCCTCTTGAAGCTACAATGCAGTGGTATTTCTGTTGTTGGTAACCTTAAACTGAGATACTATCTATCATCTCAGACAATGTGTGAAGAATGTTAGACAGTACCACATTTCCACATTAATGTGATGTGCTTGGAAACTAATGGGAAACCTCACATCAAAGTGCAGAAAGTCCAGGAGAATTCTCCTGGTCTCTTAACCGGTATTTATCCTGCAGCCTACGTCGCTGAAAATGGATAGGCTCATTTGCTGCATGTGGAACCTTGTGGTGCATCCCTACATTTCAACAGTGAGTACTTCAAAAGTGCTTCATTGCCTTCTAGCTATGGAAGATGTGATATTGTAATACACATGCAATCTTGTTTTTCACTTCTGTAATCTGTTTTCACGCCATCAGCAGATTTCCAACTAATTAATATATTTAAAGATCAATGTTCCCATGTTTGAACCCAGTGACACCCTCTTGTATCTCCTTAACTTTATGAAAGATCCTCTTTTCCATTATGGCTGAGCTATAGATCTTTATGTATGTGGTACCTTACCTTGTCAATACTTGCAACTGTGGAACCTTGTCTGAAGAACACTACATACTAAATAGTAATTTTAATTGGGTTCTGTCTTCAGTCGTGAATGATCCCCATTTTCTCAATGTGTCCTGAATATGAATTACCAACCTTGATTGTGTGGGAAAAGAAATCTATCAACAAATGTTTTGTGGAAAATTCAACCATTTACTAAGCAATCATTTTTTTTAGATTTCCCCTTTTTTAAAACAGAGTGGTATGATTAACAGTTTCCTTGAACTCAGAAATTGCTTTTCAATGTATTGAGTGGAGAAATATATTAGTTGCAGCTTTGTTTCCCCTCCTCCCCCCTCACCAGGTGGCTAAAAGAATGTACAGTTTGGGCTGCTATGAGATTTCACTGGGAGACACAACTGGTGTAGGAACTCCTGGAAATGTGAAGAAAATGCTGGAAGCAGTGATGAAAGAAATCCCTAAAAGTGCCCTTGCCGTTCATTGCCATGATACATATGGCCAGGCTCTCGCTAACGTCTTTGTAGCATTACAGGTAAACCCAGTTTTATTTTGTAAGTTATTCAGGCAGCCATAAGGATTAAAATGAGGATTATCATCATGCCAGGAACTGTTAGTGCGTGAGGAGAAACAATTTGAGTAATTGCTGTTGTTGGTGCTAACCCTCCTTGAGGATGAATTATTTTCATCAGAGCGTGAAGTAAATACAGAATGAATGATGTGATGTATATATTTAAATGTGAAATAGGTGACCAACTACTGCAAAAACAACTCCAAATTTTAAAACTCTCCAGGGATTTTACAATGCTGTTGTATCCTGTCATTACTTTGTATTCTTTCACTCATGAATGGCTTTGTTTTTATGTCTCCTGAACGTTTTTTTTTCAAGGAGGTATACTTCAATGTTATATTACTTCATGGAGGCTTCTATAGCTGATCAGCCTTTAATTTAATCCAGCAATGGTGTTGAGCTTTTGTCCTGTGGGAGGATATGAATATAGAGACATATGTTTCACCAGGTTAATCCATACTGCTCATGAACCTCTGATCTCCTTTCAAGCTCTGTCCAAGGTGCTGTGCCACATTCCCTGGAGAGGCCAGTTCTATTGTATTCATTGAATTGGCTCCTTGTGCCATTTTCCATTTGTTTAGGATGGGACCTTACTATGCACCCTGCTCATCATTCACTTATGAGCTGTCATAGTTGTGAAATTCATTTCTCAAAGTACCAGTAAACCTTCTAGTATCTAAAAAAAATGAAATATGATTTACAGGCTCTGAAATCTGATTGCAGTCACCTTCAGATTACACCACATCAGACAGTGCCATTGCAAGCAGCATAAAATATCCATGCTGCCTGCTGACCCAAACAGTTAACATGTGTAGCTAGTACTGTTCATTAGCTGTTTACACCTCAGGGATGTCAGTAGCATCCATGATGGTACTCAACAGCAGCCAACAGCTCGTAAAGGGCATTCTAGCTGAAGCAGTAAGTTATGGAGAAATGGCCGAAGCGAGTGTGCCCCAGAGTTTGACAGTGTTGCCTTAGAGACCTTGACACAGGAAACAAAGAAGAGCAGAGCCTTTTATTTACTCCAGGTAGCAAGAAACCCTCCAGGCATCTATTCAGGAGGAGCAGGTGAAAGGAGATGTCCGAGGATGTTCATTCCAGGTCAATAGCCCTGGAACCATAGCTGCAATGCTAGAAAATACTTAACAATCGAGCTGGAGATGTGTAGGTAATGGGGCTGTTCTCATACTTTCTGCTCACAATCTCATTTCATACAACAGCACTGCCCTTCCTCACTACCCTGCACTGCCCTGCAATCACTGCAGTACACTTCACTAAACCTACTTCTCGTGCTCAGACACTCAGCGCTCACTTAACCCTCAACTCGCATCTCACATAGATGCACTGTCAGCTAATTCACCATGACATTTATCTTCTTCCAACTCCTCACAAGACTCAGGCTACTGAGTTGGATGATCAATCGTGATCATATTGAATAGTGGAGCAGGCTTGATGAGACGAATGGCCTAGTCCTGCTCCTATTTTCTATTGTTTTTATACCTCTCTCACTGTCACACTTCACTGTTTTTTTGCAGGAGCAGACCACAAACAACATCAGATGACAGTCTGTCACAGCAGAGGAACAGTCTGTGTGTACAGCCTCTTCCCCTTGAAGAGGACATCCTGACAATCATAGTGAGGGGCAGCTTGGAGGCTGTGGTCATAGCTTATACTGAAGGAAACATCACACAGGATTTCTTTATACACAATCCACTTTCTCACTTCTGATTTCTTCCTCATCTCTCATAGTCTGAATAAAAAGCTGCAGATCCTGTCGATATCCACTTCTCTCTCTATCTTTCCACTCAATTCAGAAGCTAACTCTGGTCCGTTTCTTACATTCTAGCTGCTGAAAATGACAATGCCCCTCAGCCAGTGACGAATTAGGAAATCAATATTCCTGAAGATCATTGTATCTGACCGAGAAAACACCAGTTCTGATATTCACACCATAGGGACTTTCGAAACAGTACGATTACCAGGGTGGGGAGTCCAGAACTAGAGAACATAGGTTTAAGGTGAGAGAGGAAAGATTTAAAAGGGACCTGAGGGGCAACTTTTTCATGCAGAGTGTGGTGCGTCTATGGAATGAGCTGTCAGAGAAAGTGGTCATTTTGGTACAATTACAACATTTAAAAGGCATTTGAATGGGTACGTGAATAGGAAAGGTTTGGAGGGACATGGGCCAAATGCTAGCAAATGGGACTACATTAATTGAAGGTTATCTGGCCGGCGTGGGTGCATTGGACCAAAGGATCTGTTTCTGTGCAGTACAACTCTACAACTGTATAAGTGCAGGGTGGCACAGATGGCTGGCACAGGGATGAAAGAGTCATGTCTGCTGCCTGGCTAGTTAGCACAGATTTGAATGGTACATTCAATGGCTGTTGTCACAAACCAGCTGTGCATTGAGGAATTACCCCAGTAGATAATCTTTCTTTTAGAATGATACTGGCTGGGCCAGTGTTTATTGCCCATTTCTAATTGCCTAGAAGAGTCACTCACTTGGCAGTAGGTCCAGAGTCACATGTAGGCCAGACCATGTAAAGATGGAAGTTACACCCGTAAAGGGCATTACCAAACCAGATAGGTTTTTCCCAAAAATTGACATTAAGCATCATTAGAGTCTTAATTCCAGATTTTTATTGATTCAAAATTCTACCGTTTACCATGGTGAGATCTGAACCAGGAATCCAGGATATTACCTGAGTTTCTGGATTAATAGAGAAGCAATTGTATCAATGGCCATCACCTCCACTTGGTCTGATAATGTGAAAATACACATGGCCAAATATGTGCAAGGGATATACCAGGACAATGTGGAATATGTCAGCAAGAAGATCCGGATCCATGTTTGTATAAAATAGAGAGTTTATAAGTCAGGCAGTGCTCTTCCTGTTTATTTTATTGGTGATGTTGAAATCCTGCTTAAACCAGGTGATGTGTGGTTATATTTCATGGTCACTGAGCCTGGAGAATTAATTCTGGAGGCATAACTATCCCTATTGTTAGAAGTGAGTATGTCCTCTGACTCACCACAAGCCAAATCACAAGAGATGTATTAGTGGAGGTGTCAGGCCATTAGAATATTATATACTTCATAATAATTCAATGTCACTGATTGTTTATTCATTCCTTAAGTTACCACTGTATAAAACTCCATGGTGGGCCAATAGTTCACCACCTGTCAAATAAATATTTGGATTCCAGGTCTATATTGCAGCTGATAAGAATTTCAAGTTAACTATGTAGCTGACTAATGTTTAGACATATTGAGACCGATCGCTAGTTTGCAGTTGTTATTGAGGGTCAGACCTAATATGAGACACAATTAACAAAATATGCAGTACAGTTGTTTCAATGATGGATTTCCCACATGCATGCAAAATTGCTGAGTGTAGAACGGTGTAGCTATTAGATCTGTCTTTACCAGCACCCCCAAGTTATGGGAAGGGAGGAGATGAGACATTTAAGCATGCAAGATGTTACGGCTATATTGACATTTTTTATGCATCATTAAGATTCAGTAAGGACAGGGGTAGGGGCGTTTCAACAGTCGTTAGACTTTGGCACGTATTGGCAAGAAGGGCAGGGAATACTGGAAGCTTGCTCTTTCTAAAAAATACAAATCTGTTAACTCAGAGCAGCGTTGGTGCTGTTGCAGTAAAGTTTCTAACTCAAGTTTTTTTTCATTAATGGACAGAAGTGTGGTGTTTAGAGGCTTTTGTGTAAAAATATGAAAAAGATTCTTGCGTTTTTAAAAATTCATTCATGGCATGGGTCTATATCTGGTTCAGTCATCAATTATTTTCTTGACCTCATTGTTCTTGAGGAAGTGGTGGTGAGTTGCTTTCATAGACCAATACAATCCATGTGGTTTAAGTGCACCCACAGCACTGTTAGGGAGGGAGTTTGACGCAGTTATGATGAAGAATCACCACATATTTTAAAGTCAGGATGCTCTTTGGTTTGGAGCAGAACTTGCAGGTGGTGGTGTTCCCAAGTATCTGCTGCCCTTATCTTTCTAGATTGTAGAGTCGCGGATTTGGAAGGTGCGGTTGATAGTCTCTTGGGATATGGCTGCATTGTGTACTGTAGATGTTACACATGACCTCCAGTGTGTACTGGTGATGGAAGGAGTGAATGCTTAAGATGGTAAGGGAGTGGCAAATAAGTGGCTCTTTGTCCTGGGTGATCTTGAGTTTCTTGAGTGTTGGAGCTGCACTCATCCAGGCAAATGGGGAGTGTTCCATCTTAGTCCTGACTTGTGTCTAGATGGCAGACAGGGAGTCAGGTAAATTACTCACGAGAAAACACATCTGTCCTGCTATTGGAGCCACAGTATTAATGTTGGATGGTTCAATTAGGTTTCTGGTCAATGATGATCTCCAGAGTGTTGAAGCAAGAGGATTGGCAATAGTAATTTACTGAATGTCAAATGGATGGCTGGAATTTCTTTTGCTGGAGATATTCATTGCCTAGCACTAAAATGACAAGAAGCATTTGTGGCATATATCAGTCTCAGCCAGAACTTTGACCGGGCCTCGCTTGCACATAAGCAGTTAGGCAATGATTGTTTCACGATTGGAGATACCGTGAATTGAAATGAACACTTTGTTATCAATGAAAATCCCTGCTTCTGACCACATGTTGTTCGGAAGGTCATTGCTAAATCAGCTGATGAGGGTTGGGTCTCAGAGGCTTGAGCAGAAAAGGCTTCATTTTGATCATTTATCTTATGACCTAAACAGTTCTATCTTGGGGCTGAGATGATTGGTTTCCAACAAGCACAACTATCTAACAATCTTCCTTTGTGCTAGGTATGACTCCTGCCAGTGCAATAGTCCTACTGTTTACCCTTGATTTCAATCTATTAGATTTGCTTGATACCAGATTCAGTCAAATGTTGCCTTGTTGACAAGGGCAATAACTCTTGTGTCATTTCTTGAATTCAGGTCTTTTGT